CCTTTAAAGATACTGAAATTAACTTGAACCTGAGTACTTGGCACATTAAGGCTTAGTAAAGTTTTTTTTCAATCTGAAATAATTTCCTTTGCATAGGTTTATCTAAAAGGGACAGATGTCGTTGTCTCATTTTTAATAAACAGTTATAAATGTGAAAAAAAAAAACTTACAGGCCAATCTCCCTAAGGAACATAGATGAAAAAATCTCCAATAAGACACTGGCAAACAAAATGCAAAAAATTGACAGGAAGATCATACACCATGACCAAGTAGGATTCATCAAAGCAAAACATGGATGGTCCAACACATGCAAATCAATAAATATGATACACCATATCAACAGACCCAAAGACAAAAATCACATGATCACCTCAATAGATGCTGAAAAAGCATTTTACAAAGTCCAACACTTATTCACGATAAAAACTCTACAGAAAATTGGAATAGATTGCATCTATCTGAATCAGATAAAAGCTATATATGACAAACAGCCAAAATAATAGTAAGTGGTCAAAAACTGAAAGCTTTCAATCTAAAATCAGAAATAAAACAAAGATGTCCACTATCACCACTCATTATAGTTCTGGAAACATTAGCCAGAGCAATTAGACAAGAAAAAGAAATAAAAAGAATAAAGATAGGAAAGAAAGAAGTTAAATTATCATTATTTGCAGATGACATGATTCTCTACATAAAAGACCCAAAAATTCCACCAAAAAACTTTTATATTTAATAACCAAATTCAGTATTATAGCTGGATATAAAGTCAACACTCAAAAATCAATGGCATTCCTGTACACAAATAACAAACTCACTGAGAGAGAAATTAAGGAAACAATGCCTTTCACAATAGCATCAAAAAATGAAATGCTGGCAGAGGAGCAGAGGTCCTGAGAAGCATGAGGGCCATCTGGTGGCCCTTCCCCTTTGGTGCAGAGGAGTGGAGCCATGAGGGGACCAATGCCCTCTCCCCACCTCTGGCCAATGGGCCAAGCCAGCACTTGGATTCACTCCACAGAGGGGCAGTGGGTCAGAAAGAACATTTATCTGAGCTCCAGAAGATAGAACAGAAGTGAACAAGAGAAAGAGGGCCTCTCTGAGGCTCCTAGATGAACACTGAAGCCCCCTGTAAAAGTGAAGAAAATCTCTGCAATAAAGGCACATCAGACCACTATAGTTGGTAAGTTGGGGGGATCACCACTTCCCATCAGAACTGGGAATATTTTCAGGGGAAGGGCAGCTGGAACCTGCAGTAGAACCTTGCAGAGTTCAACCCAGCAGGAGGTCACAGATCTCAACTTGGGCCTTGCAGGCAGAAATCACCCTGAACCTCAGGGGACAGCTGCTTGATTGCTGAGACTAACTGATTTAGATCTGCACACTTCTGCCCACACTGTCTATAGTGACAGCAGAGACATACCCTGAAGGAGGCCCTTTATTTTTATTTTTTATTTTCAAAATAATTTTTCTCTGATCTTTAATATTTTTTCTATTTTTTATCTATTCTTTTCTCTTTTCAATTTTTTCCCTTTTTCCTCTTCTTTTTCCTTTTCTTTCTTGGTCTCTCTTGCTGTCTCTCTCTCTCTCCCACCTTGTTCTTAATTTCTCTCCCTTTTTATTCCTGTTTCTGTCCTAATTCAAATTTCTTTTTTTTTTCTTACTTTTTCTTTTCTTTTTTCCTTCTATCAATTGTCATTAATTTTAAAGGAAAATGAATACAGTTTCTAGCCTCCCTATTGCTGATAGGTTGCTCTGTTTTTGTGTTTGTTCTTTCATTGTCTTCTCTTCTCTTCAACAGTTTCCTAGAGTTTGCATGATCTTCCTGTGCCCTCTGGTCTCACTTTTAACCTTTCCCTATCATACCTATCTATCCATCCCTCCCTAACTCCTTCTAAGTCCCCATCCTGAAGGGTAAAGTGGCTATATTGAAGAGTTTATTCACTATGAACATATTTTGGGCTGGTCCTCAATTTTGATTTAATTCACATGTTTAAAAGTGATAGATTAATAACTACCTCAAATTGTCATTTTCTAAACTGTGCTTGATGCTATTGTTGCTGATTGCATCACTTGGGCTAAGGTGTTGTGGTTGATCTAACCAACTGTCCTTCCTGGTATACTGAAAACGTGATAGCTTAAGAGTCATTAGAGACTCAAAACCTAAAGGACAGATATATATGTAAGACATTTTGGAGAAACAATCATTCCATAAAGGTTCTAAATACAAGCAACAAAGATACGTACAATAAACAATATTGAAGTATCAACCCAGGAATTGAACCAAAAGCAGTACCAACAACAAAAATAAAAATGAGAAGACACTTAATTAAGACACAAAGTCAGGCTACCAGTTCACCAATGGCAAATTCTGGGGTAAACAAGGAGGAAAAGTCTGATAATCAACCACCTGGATACCCCATACTGATGGCACAGGAAGTAACAAAACAGACGAATGAAGCTCTAGAAAAATTCAAAACAGAAATAATTTCCCAAATAACCACAGAGATGCTGAGCAGAATGAAAGACATGATTACAGACTCTAGAACAGAAACAGATAAAAAAAAAAAATAGATGAGCTCAGGACCATGATGGAAACCATGAATGCCCAACAAAGGAAAGAAATGGAATCCATGAAACAGATTCAAACTGATATCCAGGATATTAAAAACTCTATTGAAAGCATTGCAGCAGAATGAGCAAATGTGAATAAAGAATAGCAGATATAGAAGATAGGATTGTGGTCAGTGACTATGAAAAGAGAGATCTCTTAAAAATAGTAAGGGACCCTGAGAAATCAATCCAACAGCTCCTAGATGATGCAAATAATATAAGACTGATAGGAATCCACGAAAAATCAGGAGAAAGTAAAAATGAATAAAAAAACTGTTCACAGAATTAATGACAGAAAACTTCCCAGAGTGAAAGAATTTGACATACAGATGAGTGAGGCATATAGGACTCCAGCTAGCCTTGATCAAAAAAAATTGACACATAAGCATATAATAGGATTCCAGAAATCCAACAAAAGAACAAAATTCTATAAACAGAGAAAAGACACAAATCACCTACAAAGGAAAGCCTATAAGAATTACAGCAGGCTTCTCAATGTAAACACTCAAGGCAAGAGGAGCTTGGAGTGATGTATTTTTAGCCCTAAAGGAAAGCAATCTCCAACCCAGATTGATGTACCCTGCAAAA